CTGGGGATGTGGCTCATAAGTTGAGTATCCCTGAGTTCAATTCCCAGTACCAAAATGTGTGTGTGTGTACATATATACGTGTGTTGTGTATATATATGTGTGTGTATATCAGAGATCAGTATTAACAAATGCATTGTAAAGATCAAAACAAGATAATTTTTTTTCTACTGGAATTGTCAATTAAGTTATCAGTGTTTGAGAAGGCTGTTAGTCTTCTTAAAGTTTTTTGGATTGAAAGGCAAATTAAAAAGGGGGTGAGAATAAAAAGAAACATCAACTACACCAGGAGTTTCAACCTTAATCAGTACTTTAAATCAGTCCCTAATGACTGATATGCTCATATAATACCTGAGACCTAACCTTCATTGTCATAAGTATAATTGTACCAGTTTTATTTGGAATATTGACCCTGGTGTTTTGAACACGACTCAATAAAACTGCCCCCTTAGTCACATTAAAAATCTGAAGAGCTCCATCTCTCATGCACTTGTTCCCACATTATATGTTCTCATCGCAGACCCAGTCTTTCATTGCTCCCCTAGACACCAAACTGTCCCACATACCATTTGGAACTCTTCCACCCACATCCCATGTGGACTGTGGAAATGGGGTTCCTCTCGGTGGCATGCGCTGACAGCAGAATAAAGGCTAAGAAAAGTAGAACAAGGAAAAAACTACAGGACATAGGAAATATTTTTTAAAAAGCAGGAGCAGGACGGGCTTCCACACTAAAAAGAGCAAAATGGAGCCTGGGCTTGCTTTATTTATATCGGGAACATCAAAGGTTTTCCATGGAATATTCTTTGCCAAAAGAAGGTAGCCTGTTCAGTTCCCAAGGGATTACACCCATGTCTGGAGCTTCTGTGAGGGATGTTCCTAGTAGAGCAGAGATAAAGGTCATGTGCATTGGACAATTTATTGAGTGGGAGGAGCCACAAATAGTTCACAATGCCAAACCTAAACCCCCCTGGCTGCTATACCCGGGGTAAAGACCCTCAAGTAATTCATGGGTGGCTTCCCATAGAATTCTACATATTCTGTCAGATGGGAACTTCCTCTTATTTCTTTATACCTCCATCTGTCTCAAATCACTTTATGGGTAATCTTCACAGCTATCTCTTGCCATGAGTAGGCCAGTTCGATGTTCTAAAGTCATATGTCTGCTTTCGGGAATATCACTCTTTCCATAATACCCTTTCTTTACTGTATTTTCAACTTTCAAATTGACTCTTTCAGTCTTAACCTCAGTTCCCTCCCATTGAAGATTAAAAAAAAAAAAAAAGATTTTTCTGGGATGGGGTTGTAGCTTAGTGGTAGAGCACATATGAGGCACTGAGTTTGATCCTCAGCACCACATAAAAATAAAAATATTGTGTCCGTCTACAACTAAAAAAATTTTTAAGGTTTTCCTCTAGATTCCAGTCCTTTTTTAAATTTTTTGTTCTAATTAGTTATACATGACCATAGAGTGCATTTTGACATAAATGGAGTATAACTTCTCATTTTTCTGGTTATATATAAAGTAGAATCATACCAGTTGTATAATCAAATAGGCACATAATGTTTGATTCATTCTACTATCCTTCCTACTCCCATGCCCCCTTCAATCACCTCTGTCCAATCCAGAGTACCTCTATTCTTGCCAAGTACCTGCCCCCCATTGTGAATTAGCATCCTCATATCAGAGAAAACATTCAGCCATTGGTTTTTGGGAATTGGCTTATTTCGATTAGCATGATATCCATCCATTTATCAACAAATGCCATTATTTCATTCTTTAAGGCTGAGTAATATTTCACTATGTGTATATGCCATATTTTCTTTATCCATTCATGTGTTGAAGGGTACCTAGGTTGGTTCCATAGTTTAGTTATCATGAGTTGAGCTGCTATAAACATTGGTGGGACTGCCATATTTTCTTTATCCATTCATGAGTTGAAAGGTACCTAGGTTGGTTCCATAGTTTAGTTATCATGAGTTGAGCTGCTATAAACATTGGTGGGACTGCATCATTGTAGTATGTTGTTTTCTTATGTGATTTTTTTATTTATATATGATAGCAGAATGCATTACAATTCATATTATAGAAAGAGAGGACAATTTTTCATATCTCTGGTTATATACATAGTATATTCACACCAATTTGTGTCTTCATACATGTACTTTGGATAGTAATTATCATCACATTCTACAATCATTAATTATCCCATGCTCCCTCCCTTCCCCTCCAACCCCTCTGCCCTATCTAGAGTTCATCTATTTCTCCCATGCTCCTGCTCCCTATCCCACTATGAATCGGCCTCAAAGAAAACATTTGGCATTTGAATTTTTGGGATTAGCTAACTTCATTTAGCATTATCTTCTCTAACTCCATCCATTTACCTGTAAATGCCATGATTTTATTCTCTTTTATTGCTGAGGAATATTCCATTGTGTATATATACCACATTTTTAATCCATTCATCTATTGAAGGGCATCTAGGTTGGTTCCACCGTTTAGCTATTGTGAATTGTGCTGCTATAAACGTCAATGTGGATGTGGGCAGTAAAGAGAAACATGCCTTTGTAGTATGCTGATTTTAAGTCCTTTGGGTATAGACCGAGGAGGGGAATAGCTGAGTCAAATGGTGTTCCATTCCAAGTGTTCTGAGGATAGATTTCAGTCTTTTATACCTATGCTTTCATCATTTATACCTATGCTTCCTTTAGAGTAGTCTATTCTGTGAATTCTGTTCCTCACTGAATACCCTCCTATCTCATTATAATAAATCTATTTCTTATAACCATTGTACTGCCATTAGATTTTCTAGTTATTTCTGTTTACTAAGCCCAGTGGTATTTTCCTGCCCTTAATCTACTTGATCTCTGAGTAAAGGACCCTTCTTTCCTAAGCTCCCAATTGTTAATATTCATTAGGATTCCATTCCTTAGCCCTCCCCACAATGTATAAACATTTATCCTTTTCAAAACAAAACTTCTACCATGTGTTTCTCTTTAAGCTACTACATTTCTGTCAGTGTGTCTTTACAACTGTGCCAGTACATTTAGATAATTCCTTTTCTACAATCTATAGAAAAAGACCAGCATTTCGGAAACCTCCATTTGGAATGCCTTTCAGCTTTTTCAGTTTGTATTTGCTGCACAGATCTTCCTGAATTATTGAGACAACATTTATATTTATACCTCCACAAATGAATGTGGTTTCTCTGAAAGCAGGAATTCATTTTTTTTTTCTTTTTTACTTTTTTGTAAAGAGAAACACTCATGTCTTACATTAGGTGCTCGTTGAGATTTTTTGTTGGCTGTGTTGTTTGCCATGGGCAGAAACCCTGTGGATGGATTTAGGGACCTGAATGAAGGATCTAGAGTTACTGAAGTACAGTATGAATAATGGTAGACTGATGAACCAGTGATGATTATGGTTGTTCCCTTAAAGAATAAAAAGGGATGCAATTGTAGGAAAGTTAGTTCTGGTAACTTTGTAGATTTTGGCTAAGACCCAAGTGTAGAAATGATGTAAGGAGAGAAGTGGAGGTCATTACAGATGACATAAACCACAAGCAAGCACAATTAGAGGAATGTTAATTAGGATGCTCTCAATTACAAATAATAAAACTTTAAAATGGCTTAAACACCAAGGATATGTTTATGACATAAGAGGAAATTCGGTCCCAGGGAGCTCAAGGATCTCAGATTCCTTGACATGTCCTCAAAATCTGACTCTTTTCATGGTCTGTAGACAGTTTCACTACCCACTATCACTTGCAGATGATAATATCAGAGGGCAGTAAAGAGAAACATGCCTTTTCAAGAGCCTAAGCCCCTTTAAGAGTAAAGAAAACTTGCTGGGCATGGTGACACACAACTGTAATCCAAGTGTCTTAGTAGGTTGAGGCTGGAAGATCACGAGTTCAAAGCCGGTCTCAGCAATTCAGCGAAATCCTGAACAACTTAGTGAGCTCCTATCTCAAAATAAAATATAAAAAGAGCTGGGGATGTGGCTCAGTAGTTAAGTGCCCCTGGGTTCAATCCCTAGTACCAAAAAAAAAAAAAAAAGGAGGAGGAGAAGATTTGAAAAGCATACTCCAGCAAACAGGTTGCAGTGGATCCTAACAAGCACCCAATTTATATCCCTCTCATAGCAAGGAGAATGAGAGTACCAGGATTGTGGCTAAGTATATACCACATGAGCAGCATCTAGGAACTTGTGATGAATACACATGCTTAGGCCTCACCCTAGACTTCTTTAATTATGAAAGACACTCACGGCTGAGTAGAACTCACCAGTATGTGTTTTAATCGGCCTTTTAGATAATTTTGATGCACATCCAGTTTGAGAACCATTAGCTTAGAGCAGTCAAGGTTTACTCCTTTGGGCTAGGGAAAGGCCTAACACCCTGAAAGGCTGAAAGACTTGGAAAAGAAAAGAGAAAGAGGAATGGATGTTGGATAGGCAGCAAAAAAATATGTCTACAGTTCTTCAGGGAGTAAGATATTTCCTAGAGTCAGTTAACATTGCTTCATCTATTCCTCTCTCTTTCCTCCTCTTTGGGCCTAGAGACATCATGCTGTACTACTTGTTTCATCTCCCAGACAATACACTGTACCTCAGAAATATGATTCTTTAGTTGTAGCTGCTAATTATCATATCACCATGGCTATAATCTAGTTTGTTTGCTTTGAAGTATTTGAATTTCCCTGGTTTATAAAAATATAAATACAAAGCAAGAACATTTTAAAAACTTAAGCAAGTCTTGTTAGAGGTCATTTTTGGTGGTCACATAGGGCTTTTCTTTTCCTTTCATTTTTTCCTTTTTCTAATTTTTCTTAAGGACATCTATATTGATTTTATATTAAAAGAAAACTTGGCTTTAAAGATATTTTTTAATTATGTTTGTAACAGATTCCAGTAACTTCAGTGTGTGGATATTAATATTGTTTTCATTTATACGATTTTATTTTGTACATCTAGTTGTAATAACATTTTGCTTTTTTCATAGGTTTCCTAAAAGGAAAAATGGAGGAAACTCTAAATCAAATGCAGCCACTGAATGAAAAGCAAGTAGCCAATTCTGAAGATGGATATGTATGGCAAGTCACTGACATGAATAGACTGCATCGGTTCTTATGTTTTGGTTCTGAAGGTGGGACTTACTATATCAAAGAACAGAAGCTGGGCCTTGAAAATGCTGAAGCTTTAATTAGATTGATTGAAGATGGCAAAGGTTATGAAGTGATACAGGAAATAAAGTCATTTAGTCAAGAAGGCAGAACCATAAAGCAAGAGCCTTTGCTTTTTGCACTTGCTATTTGTTCCCAGTGTTCTGACATAAGCACAAAACAAGCAGCATTTAAAGCTGTTTCTGAAGTTTGTCGTATTCCTACACATCTCTTTACTTTTATCCAATTTAAGAAAGATCTGAAGGAAAGCATGAAATGTGGTATGTGGGGTCGTGCTCTCCGGAAGGCTATTGCAGACTGGTACAATGAAAAAGGAGGCATGGCCCTTGCTCTAGCAGTTACAAAATATAAACAAAGAAATGGCTGGTCTCACAAAGATCTGTTAAGACTATCACATCTTAAGCCTTCCAGTGAAGGTAAGCATAAGATGTTCATGGGGTATGGGGGAATGGATTGTAGAATAAATAGTGAATTTTTATTTGACATTATATAATTATTTCCAAGAATTAGCCTTTTTGAGACAGTTTGATTGACTAATTAAAATATTTAATGCCAACCTGGAACTAAACACCTAACAACTAATCATAGGCAATCCAGACATTGATAATCAAGAATCATATAACAATTTTACAAATTAACATCTAAATCTTAAAATGTCACCATGCTAGCTCGAGTGTTTACCCAAATGAGTGTGGGCTATGAATGGAGTATGGACTAAAGTTGTAATAAGCAAACACCAGCTTGTCAAATGGCAGATAACAAAATTGTACTGCTGTAGACACCCCTCATCCCCATCTCTCTAGAACATTTTTGCCAAGGAACCTAAAGGCTACTTAAAATAGTGCACAGTTTAACAATGTAGGGTGTTAATTGTCCTTAGCTTTCACAGGGTAACTTGAGTACTTTTTCTAAACCTATGGGAAAAGACTTGAAGTTAGTTGTATCTAAAATAATTATCAATCCCTCTTAGGAAGAATATAAAAACTTCTTCAAAGAAATAATTTAAAATATGAACTTCTGCAAAAATTAGCATGTCTAAAATTTGACTTTTTTTCCTATCATAAATGAAACTTGAAAATATAGCATCTCAAATTTTATTTCTGCTTGTTACTTTGTATACTTAAGCCAAGTAAATTAATCTTTCTGAGTTTTTGTGCCTTCCTCTATTAGAAAAGGGAGAAGGATAACATTTACAATTATTGTAACTAAACATAATAATGTATCTTAAAATACTTACTTAGCATACATATTTTCTGGTATGTAGTAGAAGTGCATTATTAGTTCCCCTCCCCTGCTTCAACATATTTATTCTTTTTGATATTGATTATTATCACAATTCATTCATTCAACAAATATTGAGTACCTATTATTGATGGACATTGTTCTGAGTACTTGGAATATATTATAGGAGTTAGTGATTGATACACATTCATGCAAAACACCCCCCCCATTTTTTTCTTTGTCTTTTGTGTGTGTATGTGCCCATGTGCAAACATATGCAGGCGTGCTTCTGGCACATTGAAGTTGGGGATTTTAATGTAGTCAAACTTGTACCGTCACAGGTTTCTGTTTTATGTTAGGTTTAGAAAGGCTTTTTCTAAGGTCATGTAAGTAAATATTTACCTGTGATTTTTCCCAGTTATGCTGCTTTGTTTTTTTAGCACTTAAATCTTTGAGTAGTATAAGGGAGATAGGCACCCAGCCTAATTTGTTTGTTGAAACACTGCATAGTAAAATAAAGTAAGTATGAGACTTAAAAGATCACCTATTGCTAATTCTGATTGGACAGATTAGTTTCTGAACTTGTGGAAATAGTTATTCTGGGCTTTCTTTTCTTGATCTACAAAATACAGAGTTAGTAGATGTTTCTTAACTGATAAGAACAAAACTGATATTTAAAACCTTGTTAATTATAGCAATATCATGTCTGGCTTAGAGGACCCCTTGGCTTTTCAGAATGAATTTTAAATAAACTATAAGTTACCAAAATAAGTAATATGTTAATGTCCTAACTGAAATCAAAGTATGATTCATTTATTGGGTATTATGTACCTGCAGGCTACTGTAATTACAGAATTGGGTAGGATAAGATTGCTTTAATAAATTATTTTCCTTGGTAAGACAATGTAGAAGACATGCTTGCATGAAACATTTAATCGTTTAATATATCATTACAAAATCTGGAAGATAAAGCTAGGCTCAATAGTGCACACCTTGTAATCCCAACAGCTTGGGAGGCAGAGGGAAGAGAACCTTGAGTTCAAAGCCTCAGCAACTTAGTGGGGCCCTAAGCAACTCAGCTAGACCCTGTCTCAAAACAAAATATGAAAAAAAAAAAAAAAAAAAAAAAAGGGCTGGGAATGTGGCTTAGTGGTTAAGCACTCTCTGGGTTCAATCCAAAACCAAAAATCTGGAAGATAAAAGATTCACAATACCTTAGAAGTTCCTGTATATTGGTACAAACTTTTGCTCATATTGTTTAGAGTTCAAAAAAATAGCACATAGGCTTATTCTTGCTTAGCTGTGTTTAATTTGACCAATAAAATATTTTAAGGAAAAAATGGAGGTCAGAAGACTTCATAAAAATCCATATTCTGACTTCTTGAAAGTACATTTTTAATAGTACTAAGGCAATACTTGGCTAACACATGTCAGTATATGCTCTCCTCAATTCATCACAGTCCTAATGACTTTGACATCACCATAGGCTGTTTTATTTCCTTACTTTGTCTGACTTTGCCTTGTAGACATTTAAATTTAATAAATGAATTCCCCCCTTTTTAACAGATGTGGAAACTAAGACCTAGAAAGATCAATATTTATTTCTTCACTCACAAAGCTCTTTCTACTATTAGAAGAAATTACAGAAGGAATGAGCAAACTATTTTTCTTTTTTCTCAATTTATCCTGTAATGTCCTAACTGAAATGTGTATTGTTTATATATATGCTTTAATTTGTTTTTTAAAGACAGTTTTAAAAGTACCTACCTGTCCATTTCCACTTAATTTCTACTATTCAGAAAAGCATATTGATTCAGAAGTAGAGAAGGACAAATAACTATTTATTGACATAGATTTGTATTCTTGTGAATTGTTCTGAGATTGTGTACCTGAAATAGGCACTGCCTACAGTTTATAATGCTGGTATTGTGGGGCGAGTGGGGGAATAAGCCTCTGTAAATTATTTAGGATATAGATGTTTTCTTTCCCCAGAAGTCTCATATTTAAACAGTAATGATAAAATTTTCGAAATTAATTTGCTCCATTTGCTTAAATATGTTTGTGATAGTAAAGAAAACTGCATCTCACTTGAGGGGAGTTAAGCTATCATATGCTGCATTCTCCAGAAACATGTTCTATTTTTTACTTGGTAATCCTGCCTGCCTTTTCAATTCTTTATCTTATTAAAGGACTTGCCATTGTGACCAAATATATTACAAAGGGCTGGAAGGAAGTCCATGAATTGTATAAAGAAAAAGCACTTACTGTGGAAACTGAAAAATTATTAAAGTATCTGGAGGCTGTAGAGAAAGTGAAGCGCACAAAAGATGAACTGGAAGTCATTCATCTAATAGAAGAACATAGATTAGTTAGGGAACATCTTCTAACAAATCACTTAAAATCTAAAGAGGTGAGTAAATTAATTATTTTAAAAGGAAATATTTTATGTAAAAGGCCCTGATTCAATCCCCAGTCTTGCAAAAAGAGAGACAGACAGAAATTAACTAAAAAATGTCTTGAAATTAATGTTAATTTAAAACATCTAATACTGATGTCCGATTGGCATTTTGTGTCAGATCCACTCCACACCATATCCTGCCTAATTTTTAAAAATCATCTTTGTATTTTCTTCATAAAATACATACTTTCTTATTCTAGTAAGAGTAAGTTAAGCTTATTTGATTAGCCTTAAGACAAATTCTCATTCTGAAAGTACTTTGAAATCTAAATAAAAGCCTTGGAGAATAAACTCCTATCATTGATATACCTGTGTTATACTCAGTTCATTTCTCCTTGATTCTTTACATTCCTTTCTATAGGTATGGAAGGCTTTGTTACAAGAAATGCCTCTTACTGCATTGCTAAGGAATCTAGGAAAGATGACTGCTAATTCAGTGCTTGAACCAGGAAATTCAGAAGTATCTTTAGTATGTGAAAAACTATGTAATGAAAAACTGTTGAAAAAGGTAAGTATTATCATACATCTTTTTTTTTTTTTTATCTACTAACTGAAAAAGTTGGCTTCTAAATTTTGGAAATGTAGTTAGTGTATATTTTAAGTGTTCTGAGACTTTTATAGCAGATTAACATTTTTTTAAAAATATTTTTAGGGGCTGGGGCTATAGCTCAGTGGTAGAGCACTTGCCTAGCAAGTGTTGAGGCCCTGGGTTCGATCCTCAGCATCACATAAAAATAAATAAAATAAAGACATTGTGTCCATCTACAACTAAAAAATATTAAAATATATATATTTTTAGTTGTAGGTGGACACAATACCTTTATTTTATTTATTCAATTTTATGTGGTGCTGAGGATTAAACCCAGTGCATCACATATAAGAGGCAAGCACTCTAACCACTGAGCTATAACCCCAGCCCCAATATACCAGATTACATTCTGACTCAGAATTCTAAGGTTAAAAATCCTCATTTTTCTCTTTTCTTTATAAAATGTATTTCTTAGCTACAGTAGCATACCATGTAATGAAAATGCATAATTACTATTTTTTAACTTGAATTTTGCTTTTACTTTCTATCTTTGTCTTGTTTCTAGGCTCGAATACATCCATTTCATGTTTTAGTTGCACTAGAAACTTATAAAACAGGTCATGGACTCAGAGGAAAACTGAAGTGGCGCCCTGATGAAGAAATATTAAAAGCATTAGATGCTGCTTTTTATAAGACATTTAAGGTTTGACTTTTGTTTTTTTAAAAAAATGACTTGGGAATTAACATTTTTTGTAAAAACATTTTAAAGGTAGATGAATAGTTGTAACCATTTTAGAGTATATATTCATTTGTTCTTCATTAATCTATGTGAAGAGGGTATATAAATAACAATGTAAGTTTTTTGGGGTTTTTTTTGTTTTGGGGATTGAACCCAGAAGAGCTTTACCACTGAGCCACATCCCCAGTCCTTTTTATATTTTTTTTCAAGACAGGGTTTCACTAAGTTCCTGGCCTGGGTTTGAATTTGTGATCCTCCCACCTCAGCCTCCCAGGTTGCTATTAATCACAAGTACGCACCACTGTGACTGGTAATAACATAAGTTTATAAGTAAAGTATTTTCTATTATCTTTGGTTAGCAACTACTATACTAAGATGATAAAACTCATTAAATTTTAAAGTTTGCATTCTTGTAGGTTTCTATGACTTGGTTCTCTGCCCCTGTTTTTTCCATTAATTGGTAGATGAATTTCATCAGTCTTGATAGCAAGTGAGTTTTTCAGAATGGAAATCCCATAACAGAATAATAAGTTAAAATTTTGGCGTTTTAAAGTTTTCTTGATATGCAACAAATAACATCCAAATTCAGTAGCAAATTTGAAGGGTTATACACCATTGCCAAGTGATATTTATCCCTGATAAATATCACTTGGCAATGATATTTATCATTTATTTATCAAGGATGATTCAACATATAAAAACCAGTCAATGTAATGTATCACATTAGTAGAATGAAGGGATAGAAACACATGCTCATCTAAATTGGTGAGGGTGAAGCACTTGACAAAACTTAACATCATTTCATGATTTTTTTTTTTTTTTTTTTTTTACTGGGGATTGAACCCTAGGGTACTTAACTACTGAAACACATTCCTAGTCCTTTTTTTTTTTTGAGACAAGGTCTTATTGAGTTGCTTAGGGTATTGCTGTTTTGCTAAGGCTAGCTTTGAACTTGTGATCCTCCTGCCTCACTCTTGCGCCTCACCCTCCCGAGCCACTGGGTTTACAGGCATGCAGCACCATGTCTGGCTTATTTCATAATTTTAAAAAGAAAAACAGTTTATAAATAAATAAGGGATAGAAATGAACTTTAATAAAACATAGCTGAGTGTTGCGACACATGATTAGATCAGTCAGGGTCACTCCAAGTGAATTTGGGGACTAAATAAAAACATACAGAAAGTACCTTTTCTTTGAGTCAGTGACCACCTCAGCCGTAGCTCCCATAAGGGAGACAAGACAAACAAGAAAGAGAGCATGAAGAAGGTGCTGAACACTTTTATTGGGGAGAAGCCATTCAAATGAAGCACGGGGTCGGGTTTCAGGGGGTTAGTAATGTCTTGCTATCAACAGGTTGACGGACATCTAGGAATTCCATGCCCATCTCATGTGCTGTGTGGGGATCATAGGCAGAGCAAGCCAAAGTACATCACCCACCCAAACAGGGGCAACATTGTTTCAGTCCACACTGTGTGCTCAATGCTCATAGTTCACACACACACAGCCCATGGCTGGCTTGCCACATCTCCACATTCTCATAGCTCAAAGCTAAGGGGTGCTCAGTGCCTATATGCAACTCCTGACAGCTGGGTGTAGTGGCACACACCTGTAATGTCAGAAACTCGGGCAGGAGGATTACAAGATTGAGGCCAACCTAAGCAACTTAGCAAGGCCCTAAGCAACTTAGTGAAACCTTGTCTCAAAAAATAAAAATGACTGGGAATATAGCTTAGTGGTAAAGTTCCCCTGGTTTCAATCCCCAGTGCCAAAAAAAACTAACATCCTACTCTGAAGGATGAAAGATTGGTAACTTTTCTCTGAGACAAGGTGTAGGTCAAAGATGTCTACTTTTTCTATTTCAACTCCATGTAGTATTATAAATTCTATCAATTAGAAAAGTAATTTTGAAAATTCCAAATTGGAAAGGAAGAAGTAAAATTATACCTGTCCTCTGATGTCATGATCTTACATTGTACAAAACTCTAGAGAATCCACACACCACACACCAAAACAAACTATAAAACAAGTAAACTCTAACATAAAGTTACAGGATGTGAAATTAACTTATTATAATCAGTTGTATCTATCTAGTAGCAATGACAATGAAAAGGAAATTTAGAAAATTTTTTCATTTACAGTATCATCAAAAAAACAACAAAAGATAGGAATAAATATAAGGAGATGCAAGAATCACATACTGAAAACTACAAAACATTGTTAATAAAACTCAAGATGACAAATGGAAAGACATCCATGTTTCTAGTTTGGAACGCTTAAGATCACAATGCTACCCAAAGCAATTTACAGGTGCAATACAATCTCCTTCAAATCCCAATGTCATGTTTTGTAGAAATAGAGAAACCCACTATAAAATTCATATGAAATTTCAAGTGACCCCAGGTAGCCAAAACAAAACAATCTTTGAAAGAAGTAAGTTGGAGGACTCATACTTCTGTATTTCAAAACTTATTATAAAACTACAGTAATCAAAATACTCTGAATTCAGAAATAAACCCTGACATATGGTCAGTTGATTTTTTTTTTAAGAAGAATTTTGAGATATTTCAATGGAGAAAAGCAGTCTTCAACAAATGGTGCTAGAAAAACTACATATTCATGTGCATAAGAATGAAGTTAGGCTGGCTCCTTACACTATAAAAAATAGTACACAGTGGATCAGTGACCATAGTTGTGACTCAATGGTAGAGTGCTTCTCTAGTATGTGTGAAACCCTGGGTTCCATCCCCAGCAAGGAAAAAGAATGAAAAAATAACCAAAATAACCTATACTATGGAAGAAAATACTTGCAGATCATCTATTTGATAAGGGTTTACTGTCCATGTATAAAAAGAATTCCTAAATCCAACAGCAAAATACAAATAATTCAGTTTAAAAGTAGGCAAAGTACTTTTTTCCAAAGATTTCTAAATGACCAATAAGAACATGAAAATATACTCATCTTCATTAGTCAATAGGGAAATGCAAATGAAAACCACAGTGATGTACATTTTACACCTAATTGGACCACTAATATTAAAAAGCATAAAATAAATATTGGAAAGAATGTGGAGAAATCAAAACTTTGTTGTATTACTAATGAGAATATAAAATGTTGCAGCCCCTGGGAAAAACAAGGGCTCAAAAAGTTAAAACATAAAGTTACCATTCCATTTAGCAGTTCTACCCCTATGTGTATATCCTAAATAATTGGAACAGGTACTCAAAACAGATATTTGTATAGCAGTATTTATAGCAGCATTATTCACTACAGCCATAAGACAAAACAACCCAAGTATTCATCAAAAGATTAACAGATTAAGTGTTTTATACACATAGAATAGAATAAAATATGATTTAACCTTAAAGCAGTGAAATTTGATGAATACTATAACATGGATAAACCTTGAAAACTTTATGCTAAGTGAAACAAGCCAGACATAAAAGAGCAAGTATTATATGATTGCATTATATGATGTATCCTGAATAGTCAATTTGGGGTGTTTTTGGTTTTGGTTTCGGAGTTGAACGCAGGGAGCACTCGATCACTGAGTCACATCCCCAGCCCTATATTGTATTTTATTTAGAGACAGGGTCTCACTGAGTTGCTTAGTGCCTCGCTATTGCTGAGACTGGCTTTGAACTCGCAATCCTCCTGTCTCAGCCTCCTGAACCACTGGGATTACAGGTGTGCGCCACTCCACCCAGCCTGAATAGGCAAATTTTGAGAGAGAAAAAATAGTATAGAAGTGGCCAAATGCTTGGCCTAGTGGTACACACCGGCAATCCCAGCAACTCAGAAGGCTTAAATTAGGAGGATCACAGATTCAAGGCCAACCTTAGCTGTACCCTGTCTCAAAAAATAAAAAAAACTAGTTATGTAGTTCCCTGGTAAAGCTCTGCTGGCTTCAATCTATCCCCAATACCCAAAAACAAATGAAAAAGAATCTGCCTATAACAGATACTAGGGCAAGTTGGGACTGATGATAAAGTTTCCATTTTAGGATAATGAAAAGGTTCTTAAAATAAAAATAATGGTTATACAACATTGTGAATGTACTTAATGCCACTGTATTCTACACTTACGAATGGTTAAAATTGGGCTAGGGTTGTAGCTCATTGGTAGAGAACTTGCCTAGTATATGTGAGCCACTGGGTTCAATTCTCAGCACCACATATAAACAAATAAGAATCCATCGACAACTAAAAAGTATATAATAAAACACATTACTCTCTTTTAAAAAGCAAAAAGAATGTTTAAAATTGTACACAAGTGTGGGTGACTGTGCCTGGTGCCTGGCCACTTCTTTACCTACATTTTACTACAATGAAAGATTTCTTCCTAGAAGTTCCTGTTTTGCCTTAAAGATGAAAATTT